ACATTGATGATGACAACTCGCCGATCTGAGGATCGGAAGCTCCGGCATGTTTGATCGGGACAAAACACAGAAGCTCGTCGCTTCTCGCTCCTTCGTACTGGTCACTGCTCGTCTCTAAATCGACTTCCTGCCTACCGATCGAAGTTCAACTTATTTTTGGATCGGATAGCTAATTATACGTTGTGGAGCACGCTCGCAGTAAAGAAACTTTCCCCCTTGCGGTTCTTCTCTCCGCCTCTCGTTCAGTTCGAAACTGCTCTCCGATGTCAGTTCCCGCTCTTCCGTGGATTTCGGAAGTTGGGACATTTTGATGCGTAACGCCACGGGATCACTCCGTAGAGAAGTAACTTCCTACTTTCGGATGCTCTTCGGGCTCAATTCCATGTAAAGTCTACTAAAACAAGTTTTGAATTTATTATAGATAATTATAATTTATTTTATATATTATCTATTTTAATAATATTATGATAATTAGTTAATTATATATTAATAGTTTAATAATAGTTTATTAATTATAATTATTTGATAATTTATTATTATAATTCTGATTAATTATAATTAGTTATTTAATTATTATATATTTAATAATTTACTAATTATAATGTAATAATATTAACCCTATTATAATTTATAATTGTGTTTTCATTATTATTTATACATTAATCAAAAAAAGAGGAACATGCCTTTGCCCTCTCCTTGCATCAACAATGCCGAGCCCTCCATCTGCCGACATACCGCCGGTCCTGCCGATTCCCAGAAGGTAATAATTTTTCTGGAACCCTTGTTTGTTCTCTCCTTTATCTCGGCATGCGTGTGAGTTCCGGTGTCTGCCATACACGTCTTTTCTTAGTCGTGGCTGGGAGGGGAACCGGCGCTGACACTCCATCGTCAGGTAGGCGAGCGATCCCTTCGTTCCATAATCTCTTCTTCGAAGTTCTGTAAACACACCAGAACAATCCACCTATACACGATTTCTAGGCTGGTGGGAAGGAAACCCGATGCGATGCGTACGACGAAGTTGGATACCATAAGTTACCCGCGTTTGTGGGGAACATACTGTTTTTTTCTCTTGCAACAGGTACCGATAAGAAGACCCATACACGCTTTCTAGCGTGGTGGGGACAAGACTTTACACGAGGCCGCGGTGTCCTCGAAAGATTAGCAGCATACCATACACGTGCTTTCTTAGCTGTGGAGGGAAAGGCCCAGTTTTTCCCGTCATTGTTCCCCTAAACGGGGAGTACGCCCGGAGGCGGCGGAAATTTGGGAGAATATTATCTATCTTGAACCTGTTTTGGAACTCAAAAGACAATATTGGCTCAACACGAACAACGGTTGGACCAGATCAGTGGACTTTTGATACCTGATTGAGTACATGACAGATGAGCCTGAACGAAACATAAAAATGATTTCTATGAGATCAAATCCAAATGAAATAAAATCATATTTGAATAAAGCTCAATCAACTTGAACATGAAAATGAACATATAAAGACTCCAGAGGACTTTGAACAAAAAGTACAAGTGAAGCATTACATTAATGATCTGCAAGGAACTTCAAAGATTCCGAACCAAAGACTTGAACTGCACTTTGAACTTCGAGCCGGATTGAAATACAAAGGGACTAGTTGAACTGTAAGCTAATGTCGAACTCAAGTGAACTTCTAACATTGAATTGAACAAGAGTTTCATGAAGACTTTTGAACTCAAGCTCGATCTGATCTGTGATCTAACAATTCATACAAGAGTTCCAACTTAGCTAAAATCTTAAGTTCAACTCGTTAAGAAATGGTAAGTGATTTCTATCCGTAAACCATGCACGGACCTCCAATGAATATAATAAGCTACAATTGCCTGTTGTTGAGATGGGCAAATGGAGAGCCAATAATGGAATGGATTCGCCCCCCTGGCAGGCAAGGAATATCACAAAAACCCACCTGAGATTGGTGAACATGGTGGGTATTGGTATAAAGGGACAACTGCTCTTCTATAAATATATCTAGAAGGTCGTAGTGGAATACAACCAGTCCCTGCCTATTGAACACAAGGCGACTTTGTGGATAGACAACAGTGTGTAATGTGCTATGCACACAGCGAATCCACTGTGAGCACAAGTACAACGTATCTCCTATACGATCCCTACGCAGGGTCAAAAATACAACAAACCACCCGAGATTGGTGAGGTGGATATATGCAGAAGCAATGGTCTTCTGACAAACATTTTTTAGGAGGTCATAGTGGTGATACAGCGGTCCCCTGCAAATGGATACTTGTGGAAACAACTGTATTGAAAGAACAACGATATTTTCATGTTGGACACAAGTACATATATTACCTACGACCTCGGTGGACAAAATGCTGCAAGGTATGTACGGGTAAAGGGCAACTCGATGTATCGGGGATAGGACACCTCCTGACAGAATGGGAGGAAAGGTTCAAACAAACTAGAACTAAACTTCTGTGTCCCAAGTCATCTTCTTAGTCCTACACTTATGAAGAAAATAGTTCTGGTGCCTCACAACACCAGAATTAAACAGTCCACTACACTGACGACCGTCAACAATGGAGTTTCTTCAAAGCAATCTGACTCCAAAGCCCAGAAAGCTCCGTCCCCGGGATGAGAAAGGGGAGTCAATGTCAATTATAAGGAAATACCTCATGGCATCCAAAAACGACGCCACCGGATCTGCAACACTTATGCAAGCAGACAGAAGGTGTCTGACAAATTCTACAAACGCACGTCCACGGAATCTGCACACTTTATAAAAGCCAGAACAGAAGGCGTCTACAAATCTACAAGCAACGCCCACCGATCTGCAACACTTATGCCAGCAGACAGAAGGTCGTCTACAATCTATAACGCAATGCCAATACCGGATCCGCACACTCGTATTAACGGACAGAAGGCGTGTATATACCTCTCAAATGAAAAAGTTGGTGCGCACTACTGGCTGTTTACTTGCACAACTACAAATACTTCAACAGTACCCCCCCACACAAGTGCAACCGAGTTGTATACACATAGGTATATCAAGGGTAAATTAAATGCTCAACCCGCAAAGGGTCCTGGCGAGGCGTTTTTATTGGTAACATCATGTGACGTCTAGGGATGCTGCCGGTCCCAATAAGTGAATTCCTAGTTCGAACCTATCCTTCTTATATAGGACCATAGTAGTCGATAGGGTTCGAAACTTTAAAACGACTACAACGGTTGGGCAACTATGTATTTGTTCAATATATTCAATTAGGCCTTCAAGGCCTACAATCAAGAAAATTCACGAAGCAAAGGCCACAGAAGCCTACAAAAATCTGATCCTCGATCAATAGCTTGGCCGAGTTGACAAGATCCAATAAATAAAAAATGACTCCCAACACCCTGATGATGGCCAGTGTTGATGCAGGATACTCAACCGAGGGGTTCACAAATTTTCAAGTGACCTCAAACTTTCACAAAATTCAAATAATTTTCTAAGTGTACCTCGGAGGTCACCCCACGATGATGGCCGGTGTTGAATATTTATCTCGAACCGGAGGTTCATTCAAATTCCAAAACTCATCCAAAAATGCACTAAAAATCCAGGAAATCCCAATAATTAACGATTTTAAAAATTGAAATCTAAATCTTCAACACTTAAAGCAAAATCCAATCCACCATCCACAACATTTGCGGGTGACAAATCAAAATATCTACTCTGCTCACAAAAGAGTCAAATGTCTAGTCAAAAATCAATCATTATGCATGCCATTCTCTAAACAGTCTCCTGCAGTCAAGGATCGTGGTACGTGTTCCTCGACCGGCGGTTTGCCGCAATGGCAGCCGCAGGATTAAACGATTATGACAACGCCGGGCCTCTGAACCGAGTGGCTTTTAATCCGCCAAATGGCAACCACGAAATACCGGTTTGGCCAGAGCCAATCCTCCTTAATGGCATCAATAACTGAGATATGAATCAATAGGATAGATCGAGTAGGTCACGAAGCCGATCTGTTAAGCTTAAGGTGGATTCAAATTTGCCCTAGACAAACATGTCACCCAGACATTATGTCCCCTTGGCGAAGCAACCATGGCTCCTCCCGACATGATTACTTCCTGTCAGTGGGTATCACCTCCTCTAACAAGTAGACCAGGACCCACGATGGTCAGGACGACGGAACCCATGGGATCTTATCGGACCATCCAATTCCATGTCCCACCATCCGCTTTAAGTGCAGGTGTGAAATTTCTATTTTAAATATCAAATTTCTCAGTAATTTCCCAATATCCAAACCTTCAAATCGCAAAACTCAAATCCATCACCGCCCAAACTATCTGCTATTATATTGCCAGATACCACGTATCTCTATACCGTAACTCTGATTGACGACTAGCCTATTCGAATAGTTCTCTCTCGTGATCGGGAGGGGTAATTTAACTATACGGGGCTTGTCGCTATAGGAAACCAGAAACTCAGTATCATAAGTCCTCGCAAAATGAGGGCGAAATCTCCTGGGTAGTGTCTTATCTCAAACCCATCTGTCCTTCCAACAATGTAGCCCTCCGGAACTTAGTTCCGTTAAAACTACCCTCGCTCAAGCAAAAGCAAACAATTAGTGCGCGGCGGGGAGGCCGTGGCCGAATTTTCGGAGCCCACGGTATATCAATAATATAAGTATATAGCTGATGTTCAAGAGACAATATTAATAATGAAAAATCTGTTAGATATAACTCTGTAAGACAAATTAATTTTATCTTATCATAAGCACAGAACATACTAATTGTATTTAGGCATGTCACATAAAGAAGTAACTCAGTATTAATTTCTAAGAAGCAATTATTCCTAAGAAGCGATTATTCAGTTCTTAAAGTTGCATATGAATAACAATGTAAAATAAGTCAACCCGATAATGATCAAAATTTGTTTTCTTCACCTTTTCATGATGATCGTCGATGAGTCTTGAATATAGAGTTTATATGTAGAACTTTAATGTCAAAAACATTACAAAAAATGTGAAACTTTTTCTAGTAAAGGCTTTCATTCATGTTCACTCATCATCTACAATCATTACTTGGATACTTGTATTAATTTCATTGTATTTATAATTTCTTGATCATTTCTTTATAAACTTTATGATAATTCATTTATAATTTTCAAAATGTCAATCATTAAATACAGTGATAAGACAGTTAAAAGACTTAATAGTTTAATTGACTGTTAATCATGTATCAATTATTCCTTGATAATTTCAAACACTCGAGCACAGAAGCATAAATTTTCATCAAACTAATTAGGGTTTGAAAATATGAACTCCAACTGGTGTCACCAGTTCATTGTAAATTAGTTTGTTGTTTAAATCTCGACCACTAATTAACTCCTCGGTACTTAAATGAAAAACTACTAAATCATGTTGAATTGCGCTCAAAGCATCAATTCTCTTGCATGAAGCTCTAACAATATTCAGAATTCTTAAAACAATCTCAAATAAATATTACATTTACTAATGATTCTTTGCTACAGCCACTAAGGATAGTTGGAGTTGATGAGTAAAACAATGAATGTAGATTGTCTGATGATTATCTTTTAATATGAGTGCTTTCAAACCATTAAACTCCTCTTGTATATTAGATTCTCCATCATAATCCTGACTATGTATTCTATATATGCTTAATGAATGTTATGCAAGAAGAGCTTAAATAGATACCTTCAATATTGTTGCATTTGTTGAAGAAATATAATTAATACTTATGAACTTTTCAATTATTTGTCACAACTTGTCTACATATCGCACTGAAACAGCTAACTGTTCTTTTGTGGACACATCACGAGACTCATCAACTAAAATGGTGAAGTATGAATCACCGATATCATTCATGTTTGAAGACAATATCTCAGCTGTGTTAGAACTGCATATCTCCTTTTATTTTTTGATGAGTCAACTTTTACTTAACACTTGCATTTTTAAATATTACTTTTCCAACTTCTTCATTATGATCGATAAAAAATTAAAATAATTCTAAATAATTACATTAATTATCTGAGATAGATGATTCATCATGCCCGCGAAATGATAGTTCTTAGTGAATAAGAAATCGAATATAGTCGACAGTTTTCAACAGATCTCCTTTTAAGCAAGAGCATATCTTACTTAACATCACACTCAATTTTCAAATTACAGGGTGGCACTTCCTCTCATGATCAAATTGGGGAGAACCACCAAATAGTTCCAAAATGCCCCAAAGGCTTGCATATGTTATCTATTCCAAACAGTATAATACCTTATTATCCAAGGGTTATTATTCTATGGGCATAATAAATCATCTAGCTCAGATAATCAAGAAAGTTATTTAGAACTATTTCAATTTCTTGCCCATCATAATGATGAAGTTGTAAAAGTAACATTTGAAAATACAAGTGCTAAGTTAAAATTGACTTCGCCAAAAAAATTAAAGGAGATCTGTAGTTTTGAGGCAATTGAGATCATGACTTCAAACATGAATGATATCGATGATTCATTCTTCACCATTCTAGTTGATAAGTCTTGTGATGTGTCCACAAAAAGAATAGTTAGTTGTTGCAGTGAGATATGTAGACAAGTTGGGTAAAACAATTGAAAGATTCATAAGTATTAATCATATTTTTTCAACAAATGCAGCAACATTGAAGGTATCTATTGAAACTCTTCTTACATAACTTTCATTAAACATATATAGAATACAATCAGAATTATAATAGAGTATTTAATATGCAAAGTGAGTTTAATGATTTGAAAATACTCATACTAAAAGATGGTCCTTAGGCATTCTACAATTATTATTTTACTCATCAACTTCAAATATCCTTAGTGGCTATAATAAAGAATCATTGGCAAGTAAAGCATTTATTTGAGATTATTTCAAGAATTTTGAATACTATTGGAACTTCATGCAAGAGAATTGATGCTCTAAAAGTAATTCATTGTAATAAAATAATTTTTAATCTAAGCACTATGGAGTTAATTAGTGGTACAGTTTGAACCAACAAACTAATTTGCAACGAGCTGGTGACACTCAGTGGAGTTCACATTTTCAAATCCTAATTAGTTTGATGAAAATGAATGCTTCTGTACCTGAGTGTTTGAAATTGTCAAGAAAGAATATATACATAATCATCAGTTAGTTAAGCTGGTATTTTAATATAAGTTATGGAGACTTTTGAATTTGTCTTATCATTGTATTTAATGATTGATATTTTGGGAATTACAAATAAATTATCACAAGCTTTACAAAGAAATGATCAATATATTATAAATACAATGAAATTCATATAAGTGTCCAAACAACAATTGCAGATGATGAGTAAAAATGGATGAGAGCCTTTACTAGAAGAAGTGTCACGTTTTTGTAATATTTTTTACATTGAAATTTCAATATGAACTCAATATTCAAGACTCGTCAATGGTCAGTATGAAGAGGTGAAAAAATAATAAATGTGCATCACCATCGGGTTGACTTATTTTATATTATTGTTGATATACAACTTTAAAAACTGAATAACCATTTCTTAGAAACTAATACTGAGTTGTTTCTTCGTATGACATCTCTAAACCCAATCAATATGTTCTCTGTTTATGATAAGAGAAAGTTAATTCATCTTGCAGAGTTATATCCAACAGATTTTTTCATGATTGATATTGTCTCTTGAATATCATCTATCAACTTATATAATTTATATGAGTACAAGTGGCGAGTTCATATTTTTATTAGCATTGCTGCTCTTGTAAAAAAAATTATAAAA